GAATGCTTTTACTTGGTATCCGATTCGAACGAGACTTTGTTGAGGAAATTAATTTCCTTCTTAAAAAGAAAGAAAGAAATAAATAAATAATGATTTGAAAACGCCTGATTTTTGTAGATCTTCTCAAACGGTCATATTTCTTTCATGTTGTCGGGCTTACGACCGAAATGACCATAATATCCTTATCCTTGAATGTTGCGATTATTTTTTGTTTAATTATTCTCCCGTTCAAAGAATTTTATCTAGATAATTTTTTGTGTTCACCATTGAGTAGAAAATGTTACTTTTGCATTTTAATTGAAGAAACACCACTTGTTTCAAATTAAATGAACTCTTTTTAAATCATCATTTAAAATCCAAAAAGAAGAGAAACGAAAACACGACTAAGAAAATCATGTGATTCGAATCATTTTCGATTTACGTGTATTTTTTATGAGAGAAAATACTGTAACAAATTACGAATCATGATTCGAATCAGGAAACGAATCCCTCTACTAAACATCCTCTAAGAAAATCTATAATTAAAAAGGCAAGAAACCTAAAGGGTATTTTGGTCTTAATGACGTGATGCCTTGTGTGGCACAGTGGCAGATTAGCTAGGCATTGGATTTACAAGTTGGATTAAGCTGGTTGGTCAACAAAGTCAAAGAGAAACTAATATGGTGTATTACATTTTCATTATGTGAGAGTGCACCAGCTATGATTCATCTAATGCTTTACGGCCAGATCTTCTCATTTTTCTAATCTGAAAGTAGATATGCATCGAACGGCTCGTTGTCACAAACAAGAGAAAATTGCATTAACACATGGTCATGTCAAAATTGTCTTTTTAGTTCAATTTTACTATTAGTTAACCCTACAAATTAAGGGGTATTTTAGTAATTGAAAGGTTTTACTAGGTAGACTTTATTAATCAGCCCACTGATATTAAAAGCCGGCTTAGTAAACAGGTTCGAACCAAAAAGTTTAAATAAATCAATGTTTAACAAGTATTTTTAAAGCTTAGTTTAAACTAATAATTTGGCGTTTAAAACTAAAAATTACTTTCTAATGAAATGACATTTCTCTAGATTTCTCTCACTATTTTTTTTTTTTCTTTTTAGACTTTTCGAGTCATATTGCCTCAATTAAAAATTAACCTCTAGATTTTTAGGTTGAACCTCATTCAGTTGTCCCCTACTACTTTTTTTCACATGTCAATTTATTCCTTTTGGGCAATTTTGCGGAATTCTGTTTAAAGAGCTGAACTTTGGATTTATGCCTTATTTGAGTTTCATATTTATACCCTTTTGATGACTAGGTCAAAAGGTCAACAAACATATAAAAGTTTCCTTCCAAATCAAAAAAGTAATATATAAGATTACGAGTTTACCACTAATAATCTACGGTAAATCAATAGAAAAATTATTCAATTGTTTTACTTTAAAGAATCATTATTCAACCATTTAGTGAAATAACAATTATATAGGAATATTCATTTCTAATTTTTTTTCTCAATCAAATATAGAAATTGTTGGATATTAAAAATTGTCATTTCATTTAATGGTATTTCATTAAATCAAATGTACCCTAATGGTTATAAGAGCATTATTTTTAAGGAAAAAAAGACAGAAATTTATGTTTCTTATATGAAAACAGAAGTAAAATGTAAATTATTTGATGGTATAAACAGAAGGCCGGATCTTTTTCATTCTTTTGTTATATGAAAATGGTATTTTTAAAACCGTATGTCGAAAAATTACAAAGGTAAATAAGTAATACTGATCTATAGGAAAGCCCTCACAAGTCACAGGAGAATTTTAAAGATTTTAAAATATTGTAATTTTTTTGTCTTTACTTTTACTCTCTTCTTTTATAGGTCGTTTTAATTCTTAATCTTAATTATAAAAGAAGTGTAAACATCACTAAAATGTTTCAAGACTAATATCACTGAAAATCTAAAATAAAATGACCAATAAATAAAATCTAGGTGTAATTATTTTCATTCTCAGAAAAAAAAACAAAAACTAGGGTATTGGTAGATTTTCAAAGAACAAAGTATAAATACGGTCTCAACAAGTCATAATTACTGGTACACGTCGAGTTTTTTTTTCATTTTATTAATTTAAATTTAAATTTTAAATTTTATTATAATAAAAAAAATTTATATTTAATTTTTTTATTATAATAAAAAATTCTCATATAAAATTATATTTTAATTTAAATTAAAAACTTAAATAAGTAAATTAAACGGCCTAAATCTTAGCTAGGGTTTACATACTATCTTTCCCTCTGCAAACACAATTTAAAAAAAAAAAAAATGAAGAGCAAAAATCTCTCCTTTCCTCTGCGTTTCACCGTCGCGCCCTCCCCCCCAAGGAACACGTCATGACCAGCCATCGAGGCTCCCAATCTCTGACGCCCAGCTCTGCCTCGCCCTAATACCCACGCTCCCAGCTCCGGCGGGATTCACAAATAGAAGATTCAGACTTGGAGTCCATCGAAACTCCTCTAGATTGCTTCAAAGAAAAAAAAAAGAGAAAAAGAGAGAAGTGGGTCATAAGGAATCTGCAACCCAGAAACCAAACCTTCAAATTATCAAATTTGTACAATCCACGGTGTCAGCGGTGAAGGAAGGCCGATCCGGGTCTCCACTTGTAGCAGCCAGCGGGGCATCCACCAGAGAAGCGGCGACGCCACACACGCTGCCACCTGTAAAAGGCCTCCTGTCGACGTCTTCATCGATCATTCGGCAGACGCTATCATAAGCATCACTACCGTCGTCGCCTGGGCCGGCCATATGTCCCTCGACTTCCCGCAACAGTGAGTCACAGTCCGACGAGGAAGATGACCATGAGATCTCCACCATGGAAGGGGAGTCTGGACGGACGACGGAAGGATCCTCTCGACTGGGGGAGTTTTGGGCCATTATTCTGGTGATTAAAAAGACAACGAGCTAAGTTAAAAACCCTAACGTCGAGAGGAAGAAAAGGATGGCTATTCTAAGCGACGACTACTCAAACGCCTCGACTTGACGTCGACCATTCATGTAAGAATGATAACGGCGAGTGTTCATAGTACCCCAAGTTCCCCAGAACCTAGGAACCAGAAGTGCGCAAACAACCGAAAGACAGAAAAAAACTATCCTAGGCGGAAAAATAAAACGGAGTAAGTCTCCCTAACCTCTACATTCCATGTATTTTCATACATACATGATTCAACAGGGAAAAACCCGTGAGAAGCAGAACAAGCAGAGGATGATAAGGCTTACCGGTATGAAAATTTCCGGGTAGAATTTGGGATTAGATGCGGCTTCACAACACGCTTGGAAAAGCGAGGAGTACGAGTCGGTGTTCGGCAGTTCAGTGAATGCGGGGAGTGTTTGTGTTTTTGAAGAAAAAATGGTTTTGGGTTCAAAGAAGGTATTTAAGGAGACGAAAGTCCTCGACCCCTGACCGTTGGATGAAGTTCTTAAAATCCAACGGCAAGGAAATCCCGCCTAGATCTGACGATGACAAACAAGGGCGGGAAAAGGAAGAGTCGCGATCCGGAGGCTCACATTCATCCTTTCGAAATAAAGCCTCACGTCAGCACAAGAAATCGACCGACGCGACGGTTACGTCCCTCAAGGAAATCCGAAGCATCCAGGCCATCATTGCAGACGAAGGCTCGGGACCGATTTCCCACACCCGAAGCACGGAAGTACGACCGAACCTAAGCTCGAGGCCGCCTAAAAGGAACCCTTGACCTGGGGAGTAGCTGTTGTGTGGGGAAATGTGAAGGACGCGTGGAAGAACGATAATGTGACACGTAGCCTTAACTACTCCCTGCAAAGCAACAACCCTCGACGTCTGGGGCCCCCTCCGATTCCGTTATAAAGAACCAAAGTGAAAAGTCCAACTTAAGGCATCGATTCCTTCTGGCGTCGACAGATCGTACCGTCGACCTTAGGACATAGAAATCCCTCGACTGTGGAACCAACAACCAAGAAGGACAGTTGGGTTAAGCAACACTGGCGACGAGGGGAATGCTCTTTAGAGAAAAGTCTGACGTGGCAAATTGCGTACGAAAGTGGGGGATGACTGCAAGGCAGGCATTTATTGCGAACCCTTAAACTGCCCCACAGAGGACAGAAAAGGGTTACAGAAACGCACAGAGCCGTAATAGAAGACTAATTGGCTGAGTGAACAGTACTCCAAGTGATTAGTGGGTTACGTCTGGGCCTAAAAAGGGAGAGCACTTGAGTGCTTCTGCCTACGAAGAAAATCAACCCAGCGAAGGAAGTCCCCAATATAAAAAGGGCAAGACCCCATACAGGAAAGGAGTTGAGATTCGAGAGAAAAAAAAGAACAATTGATGTAAATTGTAATTCTCTCAAAAGAAATATACAACCACAATGGATGTAGCTCTGATTTTATAGAGTGAACCACTCTAAAATCCCTTGTGTTTATTTATTTATGCACACCAATCATTAACGTACAATACGCCTCTCCAACAAATTCTTACATATATTTAATACTAAGGCCGGTAATCCAACAAGAAACTCAGAGATAATCCAGTCTGTTTTTGTTGACGAGAATTCACCGTCAACAAAAATATTAAAGAATTTTATAGTTGAGCTTTTAGTTATTGTTTTCGCGGATCTTTCTTCAAAAATTGAGGTCTGATCCATTGACCTCGTAGAGTTGGGGATGGGAAAGAAAAACATAATCTGGGATTCTGGGCGTCAGTTTTTGAATTTTTTATTTTAATTCATTTTTTAGGTTAAATGCTGAAAATAATTTATTGGGGTATGGTGTATGATAATTTAATTAGACCTTGAAATGCAATAACAGCCCTTGGATGTCACCCTATAGATAGGGGAAAGTACATCCCCCAACCATAGACATCCCCTCACAATATTTCACTTTTGAGAGATGGAAACTTGCGGAATATTTGTGGAGGGAAATGGTTTTGTATTGTGGCCCATATAAATTGAAGCGGAATAATACAGCAGTATTTTGAGAAAACAAAAACCGAATTATAGCCTAAAAAAAAAACCTGGAAAAGAAAAAGCTTCTTCACTCCAATTAGAGCACCACATGAGCTAGAAACAATCCAAAAACATGGCCTTGAATTTCAGAGCTACTTCTCTTTGCCCAAATTCTTATTCTTCTTCTTCTTCTCCTCCTCCATTTGTGATTCCAAAGCACAAACAACTCTTTAAATCTTCTTCTCCATCTTCTTCATCTTCTTCATTTAAAACGCTTGCACAGTCTGAGGGAACCGAAAGAGTGGTCAAGGAGCAGGACCCTCCTGCTTCCTTTTCTGGTAAGCAATAATGAATTTCCCTTTTTCAGCTTAATTTTTGAAGGCAATAAACAAAAAGAGTTTTGATTATTGCCACTTTGCCCAGGTCTGTAACTTTTGTGAAATTAGTTGCTAAAAGTATTGAATACTTAGTTCATAAGATTGATTCTATGCATAACCATATTCGTTGTGTGATTAGAAAGTGGAAACTAGTATATAGTTCTTTAGCTTTTCAGAATCAGGATTGGTGAGTTTAGAGCACATTCTTTTGAGTTTAGATCTTTGTAATGGTACTTTGCGTGTTAAATTTTGATTTTGAACCAAAATAAGTAGAGCAAAATTGATAAACTAGATTGGAACTCTCAACGAGAGATTAGTTTGATAAAAGCCACAGGATAAAAGGGCATCTTGACTTGAAAAGGCTAGAACAGATTAATGAGTTCAATTTTCGTGAAAATTATGCAAATTTCAAAATTTAAGTGGAGCAAACAACTTAATTTTCAATCAAGAGAAGACAGAAATTGAATACAAACTATTTCAGCTAATTCATTCAAAAAGAAAAATGGTCAACGAACACCTGAAAAAGATTGCACAACTCCAGTTGTTCTTTTTTTTTCAACATTAAACAGTTAAAATTGGACTAGACGCGACGTTCAAAAAAGAAATTAGACAAGACGCTATTGTTAAGTTGCGGAGCAAAACTTTCTTAAGAATACTTTGGGGATTTCACATTTTAATTTTTGATGCCTTAGTTTTTTTTTTCATTGAGAGGAGCGTGGTTCTTAGAGTTATTCCATATATTAGAGAAAAAAAAAAAAAGAAGTGTTAAGTGTGATTTCTCTCGTTTTTTTCTTCTTTAACATTCTGAATTTCTAAAATTAAAAATGAATGTGACTTTCATATTAAAGGTGAGTCGTTATAATCTTGCATGTTCAAACTTATTTATTTATTTTTTTAAAATTTAATTACTCTCTATATTATAAAATTAAGGAATTTGATTCTTTGGAAAAGAAAAAATAGGTGGGATATATTGCAGTTTTGCAATTTCTTTTTTATCTATATAGTATACACAGGCTTAACCCAGCCTACAATAATAAATTATGGCTCAATCGGGTTAAAAAGACTGACTACCATTAGAGCCCTTTGTGCTCGCGGGCCCCACAATAAGGGACTAGTAGTAACTGTTATCGTGCAATCCTTTTTCAAAAGTCTCAAAATCAGTATAATAACTTTGGAGCAACTCTAACTAATTTCATATTTAGTTAAAATAGTTAGTTATTTAGGTAGAATTTTTCTCCACTTTAACATTTAACTTTAAATGGTTAGTTATTTTAGATAATTCATTTCATATTAACTAAATATAGTTAGCTATTTGATATATTTCAAATCATAATAAATATAAGTTTTTTTAAAATTCAATAAATATTAAAATAATCTGGACACTAAAAATGAAATATAGTTAGAGTATATCATCTAAAAATGATTTGCTAAAATAACTTTCTAACTATTTTAATTAAAATTTAGATAGTTAAAATTTAGAGAGTTTTTTTTAGAGATGCTCTTAATACTGGTCTGTCGTTGTTGTTGTATGTTACTTAAAATCATATTTGCATTCCTAATGTATAAATGCCATTTAAACTTTTTTTTTTTTTTTCAAGGAAGCCGTTTAAAGTTTAAATGCTTCTTTTTTTAAAATGTTTTTTTTTTTAAGGTTCGTCTTCTGCTCGTGCACAGCTGGATCTTTTAGAGCAGCTGTCCTCCACTAGCTCATCTTCAGCTGATGGTATGTGAACTCTGTCCCTACATCAACACAAACAAAATCAACTTCGCTTAGAATAATGTCATAAGCAAATAATGTGGTATCTGTTATACTTATTTTAATTCAATATATGATTTTAATATGATATGATTTTAATGTAATGTGATGGTTTAAAATTTGTGTCTTATGGATATTTTTTTAAAACATATTTGTTTGGTGGAGTATCAAAATGAAAATATAAATTTTAAAAATGGTGTTGGAATCGTTATTGAATTTGTATTTGGTTATGTTCTTAAAATTAATCACGTTTACAGATATTCATTTTTGTTATTGAAACAAGATTGCAAAACAAAAGCTATTTTCAGATCGCTTCCAAAATAACTTGATCAAGAAAAATGAAAAACGATTTATTGTTGGTGAGCAGGTTATGAGAGTGAAGGTAGCTCTAGGAAGCTCACCATCCGTGATCAGCTAGCGCAGCTGGTAGCAGACAGAGATGGCGATTTTAGCTTACCACTTGGCAAAAACCTGAAGAAAGTTAGTGCAAAATTTTTGACAATCTCACAGAAGAGAAACATCAGAAGACAAGCTTACTTGAACCAAGTGTCTCAAAGGAATGACTCGGTTTTCTTTGCCACAGTTGGGGCCTTTGTCATTCTTCCACCTCTTGTAATATTGGGAATTGCTATTCTAACCGGTTATGTGCAGCTTTTTCCTTGAAAATGTTTGGGATTAGGCAATAGTGATAGAATTGACAGTCCTTTTACAAAGCATACAAGTTATCGGTAAAAGAAAATTTTTTGCCTATGCTTAAAGAAAACGTCTGTCAACCCATTTTATACTGTGCCTTTTAACCTATGACGTTTTCTACTGTTGAATCCGGCTGTACATGTTGTTAAGGGCTCGTTTATCAATTGGAGATGTGATTTTACTTAAAAATAAATATAACAAAAAAATAAATTAATTTTTTAAATATGAATTTTTATAAAAAAAAAAATACTGTAATATTGTAAATATTAAATTTTTTTAACATCATATCAAAAATAAAAATAAAAAAGTACATAAAAATGACAAAATCTAACGAAGATCTTGCGGATTAAAACAGTGTTCTTGCACTTTTTATAGAAGTATCTCAAAAATTTTAGTATTACTAGAAATACCATAATTGAATCTGATACATTGTCATATGGGATTCCAGTACATTAACTTCTGAAGGTTGGATTTTTTTGGTTCACTTTCTACAAATCTACATTCTGCCACTTATAAGGGGCCCAAAATTTTCATACACAATCCGATGTACAAACTTCAAACAGTGATGTCTCTTTCAAGAGTTAACAAAAGCATAAAAAAATAAGCAAAACATTCAAGAGAAGAAAGGAGGAAGAGTTTTTTTGTTAGTAATATGAGTAACTAATTAAGCAGCTTTCTCAGCAAAGCTCTGCAGACAATTCTTTCGGCTTTTCTCTTGCTAATTCATTGCCCAAGTTAACTCCTTGCTTTTGTATGTAAATCCACTTGTCTTGGAACAGGTAAAAGAAGCAAATGAAACACATTTCGGCTGTGAAAAGTGAGATCCAAATCCTTATACTTCTTGATGTCTTATCATGATAAGCTTGTAAACCCGAATATATGCTAAACACTCCCATTAAGGACACAGCAGTTCCAAGCATCCAATGTACAAAAAACCAAATGCTCCTTCCATTGGACCCCCTATAAAAAGACAAAATAGAGCTTGTAAAATTCAAACTTTAGGTCACAAACTTTTCCTCTTTTTTTATCTGTTTGTGGGAAACATTGAGGTCAGACAAATTCACTTTGGATTTATTGTTTTAGAGTTTAACTTGAGTATAATTTTTGAGTTAAATTTGAGTTATAATTTGAATTAAACTTATAACTTGAGTTTGTATTTGATTGTGTACATTTAAGTTATGATTTGAGATAAAAAAATTTTTGAGTTTGTGTTTGAGTGAGTCAAAACTTAAATTTGTATTTAAATAGTATTTTAATAAAAACTCAATGCTGATAAAAAATTTTAATAGGGTATAGAGGTCAGGTTTTATTCGTCTTTTCGTTGTCAACACATAGAAAAAAAATCATCTCAATCAGAATTAAAACGAAAAAATTATAGCATTTTTAAAAATAGAAAAAATATTGTTCATTAATTTGAGTTTGAGTTTCTAAACTCGAATTGAAAGAAAAACTTAAACTTAAATTTTAATCCTAAATTCGAGTTTAAACTCAAATTTAAATTTAAAAAAATATAAATTTAAATAAAATTATAACTCAAATTATCTTTTTTTTAATTTTTCGCTAAAAAAAAAAGCTTTGTTTTGCTTCTTTGGCCACACTTCGGAAAAGGTCAGAAGATAATAAATAAAACAAAACCAAGAAGAGCAGAATTCTGCCACAGAAATTACAGGTACTTTTTTTCACCCACATACGTAAACAAAGTGAGGTGGGTGAAAATTCCTGTTTTCTCCTTTCTGACTTCTATAATAACCCAAGATGTGACTTTTCATTGCTTTTATTTTTGTCAAAGGCTTTGGTTATTTTACCTATTTGGCCTTAAGAACCCAAGAAGAGCTTGTAGCCAGATTATCCCATAGAGGGCTACCCCAATTCTTTGGTGATTGTTGTTGAAAGTGTTGTTGAAGTTTTTGAATGACATTACTGCTCCCGCTGTTGCTAGAAGAACAGCAACAATCTGTAAAAAAAAAAAAAAAAAAAAAAAAAAAAAAAAGGAGCGGCAGCCACACACACACATAATCATTGATAAAAAGTAGGTGTATAATTCATGGGGATATATAAATGACTACATGTATTTACTGTATCAGTTAATATTGCTGTTTTCATATATTTGTAACACATGTTTAATTATGTTGAAACAATGAGATCAGAAAGCTATTAATTTAGTGGATTCTAAAATTGATATTGCAATACAGTCTTTTCTTGATCTCTAAGATTCATGATAATCTGGTTAAGAAACCTGAGGATATACTAGTAAAGTTAATAATTAACTTTTTTTTCTTCTTTAGTGATCAGAAATCTGTGGGCTACTTAAAATATTTGCAAGCCAATACGGAGTTTGTTCTAATTTCTCTTTCACCATCATTAAAAAGTCTTTTGGAGAACTGTAGAGACATTGTTTGTCAATTATAAAGGTACTGTTTTTTGAAAAAAAACAAAACAAAAAAAGAAAATATACATAAAAAAGAGACCTTTTACAGTTTAATCTAGATTAATGTGGGAAAAAAAAAAAACCTGTGAAACAGCATGAATCTGGAAAAGAATTCTGAGCCTTCTTCCACATTCTTCTCTGTGTAACATCCTCATGGTGAGGATCCCAATAGGCATCAAGAATCCCATTGATGCCCAGAGCAGAAATCCATGAGTTGTTATCTCAAACAACAGTTTTTCACTCAGCTGTGTAATATACATGATAAATCAAAGAAGCTTTCAACATTTCTTAAAAGAAGACAAAAATATGTATAACCAAGATATAATTTCAGGACCTTTATAGTAGTACCTTTTGGGTGTTCTCATTGTTGCTTGTATAAGTAGTACTCCCAACACTTTCGAGCACATATTGTTCTTGAGATAATGAGTTGACCAGTAGTAGTAGTAGAAGAAAACATGCATGAACAAAGAAAGAAGCCATTCTCAGATGAATTCCCATCTTGGTCTCTCTGAATAATCAGCTGAGAAAAGCTTTACTTTCCTTCTGAGATGGAATATATATATATATATATGTATCAACCCTTTAAGCTGTGTGAGTATTTTGTTCTTCCTTTCAAAGCACTATATAGAAAATATAATATTCGATGAATTCGAGGGAAAGAAACAGGCTAAAACCCTCCGGTTTTTGTGAAAGAAATAGGCCTTTGCCTTTGGCTTTGTCTCCCTCTCTCTCTCTCTCCTCTCTTCTCTCTCTAAATCAGAGAATGGTCAGGACTATGTCTCTCTAATGCTGCCATGAGGACAAAGGCTCGTCGAACAAAGATGGTCACAATTGATAGTGTAGTGTTGCATATTTCACTTTCGGTTTTGTCGAAGAATAGTGGGATTTCTTTTTAAGTCGGTTCGAATTGTGTGTTGATTTAAAATTTTTTTATTTAAATTATATGGTTTAAACTGTAATTTAAAATAGTGTTTAAATTTACAGTTAAAGTTTAAATTTAAATTTATATTTAATAGGTGTAAAAAGCAAAGAGAATGAACATATTTTACTATTAAAAAATGGTTTAAACTATTAAAATTAATGAGGGAGTTAAATTCTAAGTTGGATATTTTAATTTAATTTAAATGAGAAATACAATTCGAACTATGTGTTTATCAAACACAATTTTAAACTTGATTTACAATTTAAACTGAACTGAACTGAACCAGTGAAACAAACAAGTCATAAGTAGATTGATATGTTATGATATGTGTGAGAGTACAAATAATGTTGCTGTATTGCATGGATGTTGATACATGCTTTAGGTGAGAACCACACTTGAGTAAAATAAAGAAAGTGGTACATATTAAAGGAAAAAAGTGGGGAATGGGAATGGATTATTGAGATTTCATTTTCAACGTCGTGGGGTATATGGAAATATTCACCTTTGACAGGCTTTTTGATTTGTGGGATTTTTTTTTTTCTTTCGGAACATATGGAATGTCAGGTTTCTAACGGTGAAAATACGATGGAATTTTTAGCATAAAGTGGATTTTGGTAGGTTTATTCTGTGTCACGTTATCTTTTGTATCCCACTACCGAGTATTTTATTACGTACAGTATAATGTTTGAAAAAAATAACAAAATATGCTCGTACCACCCACAAAAGGAACATGATCTAAGAAAATATAAGGCACTGCAAAATCTCGTTGAAAAAAGTGTATTATGAATTATAACTTGGCAAAATTTTTAATGACATGCGGCATCAATATTCAATATCTGTTATCTGTATTCAAGAATATGCTGGCTAGCTTTTTCAGGCATTCAAAATTGTCTGCATTTGAGAAATTTTATTTTTTATTCTCTCTTGGATCATGTCAGTGTTTTTGCTAAAGATGTAAGATTTATGATTCCCCGAAAGAAGAGTTGTTTGTCGCCTCCCCATCACCTTTTCCCTTGTTTTCTTTGGTTTTTGGTGGGCTTCTTTTCTTATCATCCCTTCATACTAATCCAAGCTGTTAAGATTTTATTATTTTAAGAATTACACTTCATATAATAGAATGAGATGTAAAATAAGACCTTTTTATCAATAGATTTAGTTTTTAACTGTTAAATTTAATTAAAATTATATTATATTTTTAAAAAATACATAACAAATAATTTTTTATATAAATTTGATAATTAAGAACAGAATATTTCCGACAGTTTATTTTATCAGTATCTACCAATGAAATCTCCATAAAAAATATATGTGCAAAAAATTTAGACTCAAATCAGAATAGAATGGTCCCATTAGAATAAAAATTGGTTCTAGAAGTACAGGTAGACCGAGACAACCTAGCTCATAGTGCAACCTTTTTTGTTATGCAAAATGAACTAAAGTTGGAAACGAAAGTTGTCATTGTGGTCCATAATTCTCCATCACTGCCCTTGATTGATAAAATTTCATGATGATAATTTGGAAGTTACGGTTTTCGTTCTATGTTTTGAAAGGGAGAGGTATTCTTATAAATTGTATGTTCTGTTAATCGCGATCATCACAAAAATTTCAAACAAGATAAATTTGTGGATGACTTTTACACAACCATAATCATGCACTAAGCCTTCTTTTACTTGAAATACTCTTATAAGTTGTCAGTTATGCTAATTGCGATAAACACTAATTAACAAAAATTCCAAACAAGGTAAATTTGTGGACGACTTTTACACAACCATAATCATGCACTAAGCCTTCTTTTACTTGAAATTCGGTTTATGAGGAATTCTCTTTTTCTTTAAACTTTGAAAAAGAAATAAAATTCCGAGACTCATGATCATGACCTTCCTACGTGGTTTAGTTTCATTTTAATTTAAAGCTTACTTGAAATACCGAAATACAAAATAATAATAATAAAAAGTTAAAGCTAATGAGTTTCTTGCACTGAAAAGTGTTGATATGAAGCCTAATTATTGTGGAAGTGCAGAGTTAGTACACCGATCGAACTTTGTAATTTTTTGTAAGACTGTAAGAGTACATTGGTGTTTTTACACATAAATTGGTTGTTCTAATTACACATCTATTAGGGAATGGGATAGTTTAAGGAAGTAAATTATAGAAAAACATTGCGAGTTTATAGGTTTGAGTTCTTTATCCTTCTGAAAATCTGCAAATGTGAAAAGTGGAAGTAGCTCTTACAATAAGGATAAATCACCATATATTTTTTGTATACTTATTTGCTTTTAATATGTGTTATTATTGTTATAATTTAATAATATAATTATAATAAAATTATTTATTATTATTAAACAACTAGAACGTTGATATTGTACCGAAATTTACCTAGTAATAAATTACAATTTTTTATTTTAAAGTTTGTAGCCAAAGCATTATCTAGAAGAAAACTTACTTGTTGATTTGGTTTATACCATGTTGGGCAACTCTGATGATTGTGGGGTCATTATATAAGCCAGTACTTTAGTTTATACATAAGAAAAATGATCACAAGATGAGGCATTTCATTACCATAAACTGATAAACGGGTCCATATCAGCCACATGAGCAAATGATAACATTCTCTAATTTCTGTTGACATGTCACATGTGGGATTTTGATTTTAACACCAATATTGTCCGACTTACAATCATGACCTTGAAAGAAAAATTATCAACCTTTCAAGTAACAATAATAGCTTATTTAGTTAAAATGTAGTGTCAAAGTTGACTAATTATTCGAAATTCTTAGTTTGTTTATTTTATTTTTTATTTTTTCTACTCTCCAAATGCTAATTGGAATTTATAAAAGATTTTGAAATAGAGAGATCAACTAATATATTCTCAGTGAAACTGTAAAATCACATTATCCATGTCAAATGTTGTGAGTTGAAGCATAATCAAGTGGGGTTTTGATTTATAATGAAACACGTCATAATATAAGATTGGAACTCTTTAACAACCTCTCTTTTCCATTTTTTCAAGATCATGATTTAGAGGATAGGACTTTTCTGGACTTTTTCTTCTCGTTGAATAAAGTAATTGCGGAAATTATGCTGATTAAAAAGTTGCATGAAAAAATTTCAATGTCATTGGTTGTTTATTGGTGACAAAGTTGACTAGACTAATTGCCTAACTAGGAGAATGTTGCATATTAAACTGTACCACAAGCATTGAAATCTTCATTTTTAGTCCATAAATTAATTTGACACTTGGGTTTGAGATAGTCCTCTCATTGGATCAGTAAATTGGGTGAGTACTAAACAAGGATGAGCTCAGCATGGCGATAGTAACAGTATCACAATAAATAAAGTGGGTTTTTTATAACAAAAAAAAAAAAAAAAAACATATTGTGTAGGATTTGAAGCATAACAGGTTTGGCCACTTTGATTATTACTAGTTTGAAATAAGCGTTACACGCGTGAGTATTTAATATGCTATAATTTTTAGACACATATATTTAAAAAAAAAATCAACAACAAAGAAAAATATTTAGGCAAACACATATTTAAAATTATTTAAATAATAGCATATTGGGGGATAAAATTTGAGAAGGCATGATTAGAAAACAAAAGATGTAAAATGAACAAAAAAAATAAAAGGATCAAAATGCATGTTTCAATTAAAACATACATTTCAATTAAATATGTGTATGTGTGTGCGTTTGAAAACAATATTTGAATGGGGACATATGCAAGAGAAATTATATCAATATAGGTAAAGGACATGTTTGGTATTTATGAGACAAATAGCGTGTTGTTAAAAAAGAAAACAAAATGCTAGAGTAAGTAGAAAAATATGTGAGAAGAATTACTTTAGTCGGGCAATTAGGAAAAAAAATATTTATGAGGATTACTTTTGAGAAAAAAATAATTTAAAGTATCATATGAAATATATGAGTATGACTCGTTTGAGGAATAATATTTTGACATCATCAAATTAGGTAAAGTTGTTTCAATGAGTCATGGTTATAAACATAGGATCTTTGTTTTGTTTTTTTATAAAAAGAAAAACGAAACATTCTGTATGTTTTATCTTATGTTTCGGCAGTCTCTATTTAAAAACTCATTCATACTTAATGAATCTGCATGAATTGTAAAAAACATAACATTAAAGAAATAACAAAAAATATTGCAAAACATCATTTGAGGGAATAAGAAAAATAAAGAAAAAGTAGAAAACTTAAAAAATGATATTAAGGAGTCACACGTTTGAGAAAAATTATTTTAATAAGAGTAGATTCGAAGAAGAAAGTTTAACAAGACTTATCTTAAATAATATATATATATATAAGTAAAAAAGTAATGAGTTGAAATATGCGTTCCGATCAAAACATGTGTTTTGATTAAATATGCGAGTGTGTACGCAGTGTGCGTGTGAGAATTAGTATAATTGGAGCAAGAGAAAAAAAAAAGTATTTCAAAAGAGCTCATCGAAAAGAATTTAAGTTGTATGGTGAGTCTTTAACAAAAAGAAAAAAAGAAAAATTTAAGTAGAGATATATCCGAAATTGAAAGGAATTATTTTAATTTAAAAAAGTGAGAATAAAAAGTATTTTAAAAAAAGATATTGCAAAAAAAAAAAAAAAAAAAAACTTCTAAAGAATGTTGGGGGAAAATAATTAAAAAAAAGGCAATAGGCAAAGAGAGAAGAAAAATAAAAAAGACGTCAAAATGAAAAAAGAAAAAGAAAAAGAGAGAAAGTAAAATAAATTGGAAAAAAAAAAGAAATAAAGAGGAGGCTAATATGTGGTCTCTATAGAGGCTAACACATGGCTTCTAAAAAGCTAAGTCCTTAACTCTTTTAAGTATATATAGATTTATTTTAA